CCCCCCGACAGAGTCAAAATTAAAATCTATCAAAGGACTTATTTTTTGATTAAAGCAGCCGATGCAGTGGCCTACGTTTTTTTCATCCTTTTTTTTAGCTCATGCAATTTGACAAAGTTTGGCATATGCTTGGGTAGCAAAGCCTCCTAAGACATTTCATAAAATGATCAAATATAAGCATTTGCGGTCTTATAAAGTGTGCAAATCTACACYTGTGCTTAAAACTAATCTAAGGCTGTATTCACACCTGAAATATTTAGTCCGCTTTAAATGGGCTAGAGTTCYTTTCCCCCGTTGGTCCAGACCTTTTATGCAGGTGTGAATATAACCATGCAAACCCTGGTGGGGACCAAACAACTGGACCGAGACAAYTTTTTGAGGTGGTCTCYGTCRGCTRCCYAACAAACTCTGYTGRGGTTCACTTCTGGTGTGAATACAGACAGCCTCAAACCAAACCAACTACAGGAAACATGCACCTTTTTGGACTTAATYAGCCACCATTGCTAAGCATCACGGTAACAATTAGCCCTTCAGTGTTGCTAATGCTAACACTACGCTACAAAAAATATGAGCCGTTGTGGATCAGAGAACGCAGAGCATCTCGTCTCCTTTAGGTTGAGGCACTCATTTGATAACTCTGTCCCAAAATTATATCATCYCAAATCCACCACTGAATGAGCTGCTCTTGATATTCTTAATAGTCAGTTTTATTAACACCATCTTTATTTCCTGGTCCGTGCTCTGTCCTGCCTCCAACATATCTGTCCAATGACAGCAATGACCATCACCTGCGGGGCTTTGTTTATAAATTATAGTCCACCTGCAAAAAGCACAATGTGAATGCAAACTGCACCAAAGAAAACAAAATAAAGTCCAATATTTGGTCCGGACCAAACAAGTGGACCAAAGGACTTTCCTGGTGTGAATACACCCTAAATGTCTCTTAGTTACTTACATTTCATGTTTAATCTTAATGTAATTCAAAGATAAAGTATGCACCATGAGTGAGAACTATCTGCACTATAGCCCCTTATCATCAGGCCAATACATGGGATGATTGTAAGTGGAAATGTAGTTTTTCTACAAAAGATGACATGAGAATACCAGTATATACCAAGTAATCAGGGCATCTGCTGACTGGCCAAATCAAATGGCTTGGCAGGCCAACTTTGGCCCGCAGGCTCCACTTCGAGCACTTCTGTTTTAAAGCTTTTGTGGAAGCTTTACAAGCTTGAACTGTGATTTGTAAATGTGTTAATTTAGCAGTTGTGTTGTTGCATTATAGCTGAAACTATGAAATTTCTGTAAACAGAGATGATCAAACCAGTGATTGTGCAATAAAGCCTCACCCTTTATTGTAAGCTTCCTCTTCGATCTTTGCCTTGATCTCGGCTCTGATTTCCTCCAAGTTTACTGAAGGTTTGGCTTGTTCGCTTTCCTGCTCCGGCACACTCTTTCCACTGTATTGTTTCAGATAAGAAAGAACAGAACAGTCAGCCTTGGACACCGTCGGCTCACCCAGCAGATGTTATAKAACGCTTTGCAGTTTGGTTCCATTTAAACGCATGTGCTCGTCTTCATAATGGACACGCCGCAGCTCTGGATGAGTGAAGGTGTGCATTAACGCCACCACTGCAGACGTGATGAGTGCAAACAGACGAGTCGGAGCTGYCACATTTGTTCTCACTGTTCTCATTACAGAACGTCTGGCTCGGACATTCGAGAGCTTGACTGAGCCTCGCTTTGTAACCGCACTATGACTGGAGCCCTGTGCCTGCACTTCGTCAGCCTCTTTCACAAATGTTTGGATTGCAATGCAGCATAACATATCCCTCAACGGCAGTGGAGTTTGATTATTGTTTTTGCACTTTCAGGGTTAGTCTTAGCTCACTGGGGCTTTCTCTGCGCTGTTAAAACACATCCTGCAGGTCACACAAACAGGCCAGCGCAGCACAAAATGCTTTGATAAAAATGATTAAAAGTTCTGTGTTTATCCTGGAGCATTGTTTTCAAGGTGGCCTTGAAAAACTGAACAATAGAATGAGAATTGCARGCATGTAGAAAAGATTTGTATGTGTGAACAAGTAAACATACCACTCAGCTGGTGGTTGTGCTGCTTCCGAGGACGAGCTGCTTTTCACATCATTTGCTTCACACTGAAGAGGACGGAGTCGAAGAATGTTATTTTCTTTTAACCAGAAAATAATGTCACAATCTGCAACTACAGAATTTGCGTTTCCTGCAAAAATGCAGTGTGAATGCTGAAAGATCATTGCTGAAAGCTGCTGAAGAAGTTGAAGCCAAAGCTGAAAAGGTTTAATAGCAAAACTGTAAATTTGAAGAGATGACTTTTGCTGAAAGTGGAACAATGAAAGTGAAAAATCAACAGAAAAATAGCTAGTTCAATAAAGTTAACATACATAGCTAAAGCAGATGAGATTAGTAGAAAAATAGCAAAACAATAGCTGAAAAAGCTGAAATTAGCACAAAGAAGCAAAATATTCGCTGAATTAAAGAGGAAGAAGCTGAGATTTTCACAAAATGAATTTAACTATAATAAGCTGAGAATAGCTAAAATGGCAGAAAACAGCTAAAATTAGCAATAAACAGCTGAAAGAAGCATGAAAAGCTTAAATTGGCTGAAAGAAGCATAAAAAAGGTTGGAATTATAACATGCATTTATTTACATTACAGGCAGTTACTGTGGTCTTTTATGACTGGGCATGAAAAACTATTCGTTACAACCAGCTGCTGCATTTTCTAAATTTGTCACAAGATCATCTCTGTAACAATAAAGCTACACGGGGTGAGAGACCCACCCTCCAAAAAAATTCCACTTTAAATAGATTCAACTGATTCAATCATAAAAAGGGCAGAAACCACRCCTGACCCCCCGATGACCTTTCATTCAGCAGCCAATCGCTGTGTGACTGCTTCTTCCCACATTTCCCATCATGTGACATCAGGACYGGAGGACCTACCAGGACAGGAAGAGCAGGACCTGCTGCGGATCCTGCTGCTGAGCCTGGACCGGCAGCGTTTGGGCTCTGACCCGGGATGTTGAGGAGGTTAAACTTGGGCACCACGGCTACGCTCACCCTTCGCCTGGGCAAAGCCTACAAACGAGACGGTGAAAGACAAAGTCAAAACTTAAAAACTCCACATTCTGACAACAAATATCAAGAACGAAAAAGGATAAAACTGAAAAAGCTCATGTTTTACTTTTCCAAGGGTGATGGACATTGATCTTGATGACCGTGGAACCCCATCATCTTGACAAAGATCATAAAAGTACAACATATTAGGGCAGAAAGCACCAATTTCTTCCTGGGATTCTTCACATTCTACATTTGCTTTGGAAACCTTTCTTCTAAAAGAAAGTTTAAACAGCCATAAAAACTGTGACTTTTTTTTTATTAAACCAATTTGACCAAGAATAACAGTCTAAAATGGGAAAACCCTAATATTCTGGTGGCAGTACTTGTGTTGTCTTTACCTCCAGGTTCTCCAGAGGCGCCATAACAGCGATTTGAGTTCTGGTTGGCCAGTTTCTTAAACTCCATCAGCTCTGCGTGGTCCTTCTCGTACGTCCTCTTCAGATTTTCCACATATTGCATCATGACCTCAGTGGCTTTGTTCATACGTTTCTCCTGTTTGGCGACAGAAAGCCAGTTCTTCAGGCCAGGTGTGAGCACAGACAGGCTTTAAAATCATCAAACACTCAGGTCTGTCTGCGTTTCAGCTCTAAAATGAAGCCATAAATGTTTGATACATGAGCTGATGCTTTCACAAGTTTCTGATTTAGTTAGTTTAATTTAATATTCTGATTAAGAGGCCTCAAGTAAAAATAACACAAGTTTGAGCCTTTACTGGTATGGGGTGCTATCATTTGRGTGTCAATGTAATAACACTGGTATCAGATTTTTAGCTGCACAAAAAARGTCAGTCAGTAATTCAGAGTATTTTGTGATTATAAATAAAGGCCGTTGTCTTGGAGAAGAAACAATGTTTGCTTTGGTTGGCATAAGGTCAGTCARGACAGCGGTCAGAATGTTTTTCATTGTTGTTTTAAAAATTACTGCCAAACATGCATTCCATTCGTCCCAGGAGACGGTGAGGAAAACAGTTTAGAAATGCATAAAAAGAGATCAACAAACTGCGTCTCGCGAGGGGTACTGAGGTGTGCTGCAGATTTAAAGCAGAACCTGTCGAACTGATCCYACGATCTCCGCTCTGCTGGAGAGCCGAGTGGTGAGTCGGTACAGCACCGCCACCGTCTCGATGAGGCGCTGGTAGGCTTCACGCTGCTCCAGGTTCTGCCACTGCGGTGCTGTCATCTGTAGGAAAACACCAGAACAGCAGCGTGTAATGACATCAGGGAAACAAAGAGCTCATRAACACTCAGGGCTCATTAAACAAAAGGACACACAGTTAAATGTGTGTTGATGCTGAGTACTAGTATGAGTACTTCAGTTTGGACAAACCCGAATTTCATTGTACTCTGGTACAATGACAATAAAAGTCTATTTGATTTGATTATATACTATATAGAGTACCAGAAGTGGGTGTGGGTGGTGACGAGTTATATTTTCTCAGTTACATTTACTTGATGATGATTAATGATAAAGGTAAATCTGTTGGAGAAATATAAGGCACGAATTGTTACTCAAGAAGGAATTAAACCTTTGTTTTTCTTTAATTTCCTTTTTTTTGTACGCTGTAAATTGAAGATTTTTTGATTGAATTTATTTATTGTGAAAAAAAGGGCAGAAATCATAAGCTTTTTTTCTTCTGCTACATTTCATTTAATTTGATTTGTTTTTTGTTGTATGTTGAATTTATGTTGTTTTGTTTTAAATTAATAAACTTTCTAAAAAAAATTAAGTAACATTTTTGGAAAAAAACTTTTAGGAATAGTTTTACTACATCATACATTTTACTTGAGCAGGATTAATATGAAGTACGCTTACTTGAGTAAAATTTCGGATTACTCTACCATATATTTTCTCTCTCTGTATTTTTGTGTGTTTATCAGTATATTATATAAATACTGATGGACACCTTTAAGCTTTAAGGACCAACCTTCAGTGATCCTTTGAACTCCTCCAGTTCCTTCTCGGTGTCTTCTTCAGTCAGGTTCCTCTCCCTCTCTGCTTGTTTGAGTCTCGTCTCCAGAGTGTAGTTGTCGTTACGAAACGCTAGTGACAGCTGGATAAACGCATTCTGTGGAGAGGAAGTTGATTTAAAGGGATCACCGATTAGTTGTAACATTAGACTTTATTTAATAAACATATATTTTAACTGTAAAATAAAGACTGTGAAAATACTGTAGGATGTTTTATTTTTAAACTAAAAGCTTAAAAATATAGTACAAGGACAGGGCCATTTTGTTTACACGCAAAGCATTCTGGGTAAATGATGATGTGGGTAGGTCCTCGGTGCGAGGCTGCTAGCGAGCTATATCCACCCTGAAGGTTAATCTTGGACAATATCTGATGATCGTCTCTTTTAAATGAAACCAGAGAGCGTTGACAGAGAGGAGAAGGTAGAAATGACTCAGCCTGTAACTGAAAATATGGATGGAGGACCTCTGTTTAGCTTGTTTGTCGCTCTAGCACCGAGCTAATAACGCAATATAGCGTCAGTGCTAGCACAAAGGCTAACAGGCTAAGCTGAGGTTCTTCTTCTATGAAGCAGCTCTGTTGTCCTCCATCCATATTTTCAGTTACAGGCTGAGTCATTTCTACCTTCTCCTCTCTGTCAACGCTCTCTGGTTTCATTTAAAAGAGTCAATCGTCAGATATTGTCCAAGATTAACCTTCAGGGTGGATATAGCTCGCTAGCAGCCTTGCACCGATGACCCACCCACGTCATCATTTACCCAGAATGCTTCGCATGTAAATAAAATGGCGCCGTCCATGTCAAAATWRATTTTTAAAAARGTACAAAACTAAACAGCCTACAGTATTTTTACAGTCTTTATTTTACYGTTGAAATATATGTTTATCYAAGTCAAATGTTACAACTAATCGYGGATCCCTTTAAAGCTCAGACGGACTCATTAAACAACTCGTTAACATGTAATTAACAGATAAGCACAAACTTTGTGTAATTACTGAGTAAGAAGCAGATTTTGAGAACGGCACACTATATTTTACTGTAAAACAGAAGTCTGACAATGATCAAGCTGTTATAAAAATGCTGTAGCAAAAGTCTAAACACCTTGAAACTGGCCTCTGTCTCTTTAAGATCCTCAGCTTCCTACCGTTTTCAACGCTCCCACTTCAGCACGARTCACAASGKTGCTTCGTGCCGTTTTGTAGGAYCGTAATTTTTTGTAGRAAAAAAAGAATCAACATTATATAATATCGGTTTTGGAAAATGAAAACTCAGACTACAGTTGAATCTTACTCAAATGATCCCACGTTGGACCTGGAAAGTATGTTTTTTGAAGAARCTGAGRGAGTYCAGAGGTTTTTACAAGAAGTTTCAGCTTGGTAATTAATATATATCCCAGTCATCTTCTCATACATAAATGTCTGTGTTTAGCTACTTTTTGCAAATCGATCATTACAAACCTACTGTATGTTTCCAATGAAATCATGAATGGAGGGGCAGGGGAGGGATGCTATGTGGGGAAGGAGATCGGCTACAGACTGAGCTCCAGGAAGGAGCTTTGGGTAAATAGGCGGTGCTTTGTACCAGCAAGTGTTTATGCAGCTCCACTGGCTACAACAGGAGTTTCAAGGATTTCTCAAACATGCATGAATGAGTCAAAGCAGCTCTCTGAGTATGTGTTTGATGAGAAAATGTCATCATAAATATCAAATAAGTCAATTTTGCATAATCCCCCCTTTAATAAAGTTAAAAAGAAAAAGTTTGAAATTTATCTTGTACAGTGGTTTGCAAAAGTATTCATACCCCTTGAACTTTTCCATATTTTGTCACATTACAACCACAAACATAAATATATTTCACTGGAATTT